TTTGGTTATTGAGAAGAAGTTGTTTGAAGATTTTAACATATTTGACCCCTGTGACCTTGAAAGTGGGTCAAGGTCATTTATTTGAACAAACTTGGTAGCCCTTGATCCCAGCATGCTACTGGCCAAATATCATCTTCCTGGGCCTTTTGGTTATTGAGAAGAAGTTGTTTAAAGCAAAAAGTTGACGCTGGACAGACGGACGGACGACGGATGCCGCACTATAACATAAGCTCACTTGCCCTTCGGGCAGGTGAGCTAATAAAAAAACTTTAGCTGTACATGTCACTTCAATGGCTAATATGCTTAAAACAAGAGGCCCATGGGCCTTAACATTCACCTGAGTTATGTAAAAACTGATGTTATCGATGTTGCCAAATGAAAAAGAAATCATTTTGTAACAAATGTAACTTGAACTACATGTAATGCAAAAGATGTGTGAAAGATCTGGGTAGTATATGTACTATGTACAAATAGTGGTTCTGTCAGTCAGCTGAATTATGATCGAGCACCTTAAGCCCCTTCCATCTATGAAGAGTATTTGATCCTACCATACCTGGATCTTGAGAAGAAGATTTTTAAAATTTTAGTCAATTTTACCCTTTTTGGCCCCGCCCCTCAGGCTTCTGGGGGCTGGGGACCATATAATTCACAATTAAACTATAGTGAAGTTCACCCCCTCCCCAAGGGGAAGAGTGAGACCCCAGGGTCATGAAATTCACAATTTTGGTAAAGCACCTTAAGACCTTTCCATCTATGAAGAGTATTTGTTTCCCCTATTGGGCCCCGCCCCTCAGGCCCCTGGGGCGCCAGACCCACGGTTTATACAAAATTGGTTCCCCTTCATCCAAGGATGATTCTTACCAAATATGGAACAAATCCTTTCATTCCTACAGAAGGAGAAGGATTTTAAAGAATTTGTTATATTACCCCTATTGGGCCCCGCCCCTCAGCCCCCAGGGGGGCCAGACCCACCATGTACACAAAATTTGTTTCACTTCCCCCAAGAATGCTTCGGACCAAATTTGGTCAAAATCTGCTCAGTTGTTCATGACAAGTAGCGTTTTAAAGGGAGAGTTGACAGACGAACGGACGACAGACGCTGCAGTATGGTATAAGCTCACCTTGGTCCTTCGTACCAGGTGAGCTAAAAATGCTGGTCCAAAATGTGATTTCCCTATATAAACTATGGTAAAGTTTACACCCTCCCTTGGGGGAAACTTGAGACCCCAGGGTCAGGAAATTCACTCTTTTGGTACAGCACCTTAAGACCTTTCCATCTATGAAGAGTATTTGATTCTACCATATCTGGATCCTGAGAAGAATATTTTTGAAATTTTTGTCAGTTTGACCCTTTTTGGCCCTGCCCCTCAGGCCCCTGGGGGCTGGGGACCATATAGTTCACAATTTTGGTTGACCTTTGGCCAGGGAAGGTTTCTGCAAAATTTCATTGAAATTGGATCAGGGGATTTGGAGAAGAAGTCGAAAAAATGTAAATTGTTTACAGACGCCGCCGCCAGACAAAAGGCGATCGCAAGACTTTGTCTCAGGTGACCTAAAAATGATTTAGAAATATAAAGTAAGGAGACACCTATTTGAAAATTTTATACATTGATGAAAGCATTCAAAGAAAATACTGACTGCATCACCTGGCCATTTCCTCCATTAAGAACTCATTTGTGGTACACCAGATCAAAAGATAACATCTTGTCCTGATGACACCTTGAGAGGTGAAACTAGTCAGCCAAATAAACTAAAACACTCACTTAATCGGTGACGCTTGAGTATGTTGTGATTATGATCCTACTTTAAATGTAAGACAAGAGGCCCAGAGGGCCTGTATCGCTCACCTGGATACCTAAGCAATCATGGTAAAATATTCTCCAAATGAGATCAAGGGAATATGCCAATCCCCAAGGCCAATCCTTGTAGCATATTAGTATTAGATTTATCATGCCCAGCAATTTTATGTATGGTTAACGGGTGGGGATCTCAACTGTTTCCAAGCTTTGACTCAGAAACTAGGTCCCTAGGGTTATGGCCAGACCCCAGGATCAATTCTAATATCGTGACTGCGTTTGTCTCTTTTTGCCCAGCATTTGTATAAATAGTTTTGGGGTGGGGATCTCAAACATTTCAAAGTTATGACCCAGTGGTTAAGTCTGCAAGGGTGAGGCAGACCCTGCGGTCAATTCTAATATCATGACTGCATTCGTCTCTTTATGCCCAACAATTGTATATATAGTTTTGGGGTGGGGATCTTAACCATTTCAAAGTTATGACCCAGGGGTTAAGTCTCCAAGGGTGGGGCAGTCCCCAAGGCCATCTTGGAAGCATATGTGCAATAATCTTTTTATACTCAGCAATTGTATATACGGTTATAGGGTGGGGCTCTCAACTGTTTCCAAGCTGTGACTAAGAAAGTAGGTCCCTAGGGGTTCGGTCAGACCCCAGGGTCTATTCTGATATCATGACTGCATTCGTCTCTTTATGCCAAGCATTTGTATATATAGTTTTGGGGTGGGGATCTCAACATTTTTAAAGTTATGGCCCAGGGATTATGTCTCCAAGGGTTGGGCCAGACCCTAGGGCCATCCTAGAAGCAAATGTGCATTCTTCTCTTTATACTCAGCAATTGTATACCATGGTTATATGGTGGGGATCTCAACCATTTCCAAGTAATACACTTTTTTTTGGCCCCAACCCTTAGCCCGGGGGGTTCATCAGTACCACCATTTGTACAATTTTGAATCCCTGCCTCCCATGATTCCTCCCATCCAAATATGATCAATATCCATGGCATCATTCCAGAGAAGAAGTCGCTTAAAGCAGTATAGCCAAATTTCCCTTTTTGCCCTACCCCAAGCCCTCTTGGGGGTCAGCCCCATCATTTGTACAATTTTGATTCCCCACCACCTAGGGATGCTTCCAGTCAAATATGGTTGATATCCACTTCTCAGTACCAGAGAAAAAGTCGCTTAAAGCAGTATAGCCAAATTTCCCTTTTTGCCCTACCCCAAGCCCTCTTGGGGGTCAGCCCCATCATTTGTACAATTTTGATTCCCCACCACCTAGGGATGCTTCCAGTCAAATATGGTTGATATCCACTTCTCAGTACCAGAGAAAAAGTCGCTTAAAGCAGTATAGCCAAATTGACCCCTTTTGGCCCCGCCCCTCAGCCCCCTGGGGGGTCAGCCCCATCATTTGTACAATTTTGATTCCCCACCACCTAGGGATGCTTCCAGTCAAATATGGTTGATATCCACTTCTTAGTTCCAGTGAAGAAGTCGCTTAAAGCAATATAGCCAAATTGACCCCTTTTGGCCACGCCCCTCAGCTCCCTGGGGGGTCAGCCCAATTATTTGTACAATTTTGAATCTCCACCACCTAGGGATGCTTCCAGTCAAATATGGTTAATATCCATCTCTTGGTTCCAAAGAAGAAGACGCTTAAAGCAGTATAGCCAAATTTCCCCCTTTTTGCCCCGCCCCCCAGCCCCCTGGGGGGTTCAGCCCCATCATTTGTACAATTTTGAATCCCCACCACCTAGGGATGCTTCCAGTCAAATATGGTTAATATCCATCTCTTGGTTCCAAAGAAGAAGACGCTTAAAGCAGTATAGCCAAATTCCCCCCTTTTTGCCCCGCCCCTCAGCCCCCTGGGGGGTCAGCCCAATTATTTGTACAATTTTGAATCCCCACCACCCAGGAATGCTTCCAGTCAAATTTAGTTAAATTCCATTCAGTGGTTAAGAAGAAGAAGTCGTTTAAAGAAATTGTTGACGTACAGACGGACTACCGACGACGGACGCAATGGTATGGCATAAGCTCACCTTGGGCCTTTGGACCAGGTGAGCTAATAATATAATAAGTTCATCATGCAATGATATAAAAACTTAAAACCTAGTATACCAACAGGGTCTATTGCCCCAGGCAGAACAGATGAAGATTTTCTTACCACATGTAGCGGCGTCCTCTTGTCGTAATCGGCCATGTTGAGGTCGGCGCCTGCTGCTCTCCAGGCCTGAAGCGTGCTCACCTCATCCCGTGCTGCAGCGCTGACAAACACACAGTTGACATATTGATGTGAACAGTTTAACATTGGGACTGTGCTTGAAAGTTGTTAAAAGATTTGGGGAATATACTGCTGATTTTCCTATGTCCACCACAACATTTGATTCCTCAGTATGCTTTTACTACTTGTACTAAAAGAAATTGAAAATCAAGCCTCAATAGTCCAGCCACCAATATGCTGGCTGTCCCCCCTATCCATCCGATGTTCTAGAGGACTTTTTCTATACAAATTGTCCCATTAATCAAGCTGTCTAATCATCCAGCCACTTTTTATGTGAATAAAGTTCGCTGGATTATTGCAGCTCCATTGTATTGTGATCATGAATACAGATTGAAAAACAGACATACAGTCGAACCTCGTTATCTCGAACTCGTTTAACTCGAAGACCCCGTTTAACTCGAAGTGTTTCATCGGTCCCGGCCAAAACTCTTCTTAATCTTAGTAATAAAAACTGATAGTTCGAACTCTGAAAACTCGAATAACTCGGATATCTCGAAGTGAAATATCGGTCCCAACAACGTAAATCCTACATAAAAATATCGCTTACCTCGAAGTTTCTTAAGATTCACAAGTCGATCATATATTCTTTAATTATTTGATACATATTAGATGCAGTGCTACGGTAAACATCGTTCTCATAGAGCAGCTTACGCTCGGTCATAATTTCTTCGATTAAACTTATTGTATTAAAATGTGTTTGACTGTAAAAACACTTTGTTCAAATAAAGAAACAGACTTCATCAATGTAGATTAACAACAATTAGTACTCACTGCGAGCCCGTAAACAATTTGAATGGCATATTATTTACACCAAAGCTGCCGACACATTCTAACCGGTAAATGGGTCACTGTGTGCGGTCATGCGTAAATAAGCTCCACAGTAAAAATCACAACCTAGGACTGGTTCGTCGATTTATGTTTTTACAGGAGCTTGTATGGCAGTGACACTGATAATTAATTGAGGGATTATAGGAACAATACGATAATTATTATTGAGTACGTCGTGTTGAGGAGATGTCAAGTGTCATTGGGGTCTATAAATGTTGATATGTTTCCTGATTAACTCATACCCATTTCGGAATGTCGAAATCAACTGAGCAATCCAACGAAGGACCCGGCTCCACCGGGGGGATACTTGGATCAGTTGAAAGGGTGAAAACCGGCGTGAAGAGAAAGATTGTGTATTGTTTTCGCGTGTACTCATTAAAAACATCATTTACGTGTACGCTCCAATACCGTGATTTGTGTAAAGACCTGCGCACTTTCATTTCCGCTATCAGCATAGCGAGGTCGGAGACAGCATGTAAGTTTTACAGTAGACGTTCTTCCTGTTTGTATGTGTGGTTATTGTAACATTGATTTGTATCAATTAATTAATATGATTATGAATAAATTGTTATTTTTATTTTATATCGTTATCTTTTTGTCATTTATCGACTGTTTATATAAGTTGTTGATTTTTCCGACAGTCAACGTATTGACAGCCTCATATTTGACCAAACACTTTACCAAGCTTTATGCCAAACTTATGAACTCGCTTAACTCGAATACTCGGATAACTTGAAGTTTTCCAGCGATCCCGTCGACTTCGAGATAACGAGGTTCGACTGTACTTTGTTTTATGGGTTAACCCTTTAAATGCAGACAGATTTTACAGTAAGGGTTTCCCCTGTGTATTCAGACAGATTTTACTGTAAGGATTTTCCCTGTGTATTCAGACAGATTTTACAGTAAGGGTTTTCCCTGTGTATTCAGACAGATTTTACTGTAAGGGTTTCCCCCTGTAAATGCAGACAGATTTTACAGTAAGGGTTTTCCCAGTGTATTCAGACAGATTTTCCTGTAAGGGTTTCTCCAGTAAATGCAGATAGATTTTACTATAAAGGTTTTCCCTGTGTATTCAGATAGATTTTACTGTAATGGTTCCCCTGTAAACGCAGACAGATTTTACTGTAAGGGTTTCCCCCTGTAAATGCAGATAGATTTAACTGTAAGGGTTTCCCCTATAAATGCACACAGATTTTACTGTAAGGGGTTACCCTGTAAATGCAGACATATTTTACTGTTATGGGTTTCCCCTGTGTATGCAGACATATTTTACTGTAAGGGTTTCCCCCTGTAAATGCAGACAGATTTAACTGTTAGAGGTTCCCCTATAAATGCAGACAGATTTTACTGTAAGGGATTTCCCTGTGTATTCAGACAGATTTTACTGTGAGGGTTTACCATGTGTATTCAGACAGATTTTACTGTAAAGGTTTACCATGTGTGTTCAGACAAATTTTACTGTAAGGGATTTCCCTGTGTATTCAGACAGATTTTACTGTAAGGGTTTCCCCTGTAACTGCAAACATATTTTACTGTAAGGGTTTTCCCTGTAACTGCAGACAGATTTAACTGTAAGGGTTTTCCCTGTGTATTCAGACAGATTTTACTGTAAGGGTTTTCCCTTTGTATTCAGACAAATTTTACTGTAAAGGTTTTCCCTGTAACTGCAGACAGATTTTACTGTAAGTGTTTTCCCTTTGTATTCAGACAAATTTTACTGTAAGGGTTTCCCCTGTAACTGCAGACAGATTTTACTGTAAGGGTTTTCCCTGTAAATGCAGACAGATTTTACTGTAAGGTTTTCCCTATAAATGCAGACAGATTATACTGTAAGGGGTTCCCCTGTAAATGCAGACAGATTTTACTGTAAAGATTTCCCCTGTAAATGCCGACAGATTTTACTGTAAGGGTTTTCCCTGTAAATACAGACAGATTTTACTGTAAGGGTTTTCCTGTAACTGCAGACAGATTTTACTGAAAGGGTTTTCCCTTTGTGTTCAGACAAATTTTACTGTAAGGGTTTCCCCTGTAACTGCAGACTGATTTTACTGTATGGGTTTTCCCTGTGTATTCAGACAGATTTTACTGTAAGGGTTTTCCCTGTGTATTCAGATAGATTTTATTGTAGGGGTTTCCCCTGTTAATGCAGACAGATTTTACTGTAAGGGTTTTCCCTGTAAATACAGACAGATTTTACTGTAAGGGTTTTCCTGTAACTGCGGACAGATTTTACTGAAAGGGTTTTCCCTTTGTGGTCAGACAAATTTTACTGTAAGGGTTTCCCCTGTAACTGCAGACTGATTTTACTGTATGGGTTTTCCCTGTGTATTCAGACAGATTTTACTGTAAGGGTTTCCCCTGTGTATTCAGACAGATTTTTCTGTAAGGGTTTTCCCTATGTATTCAGACAGATTTTACTGTAAGGGTTTAAGGGTTTTCCCTGTGTATTCAGACAGATTTTACTGTAAGGGATTTCCCTGTAAATGCTGACAGATTTTGCTGTAAGGGTTTTCCATGTAAATGCAGACATATTTTACTGTAAGGGATTTCCCTGTAAATTCAGACAGATTTTACTGTAAGGGTTTTCCCTGTGTATTCAGATAGATTTTATTGTAGGGGTTTCCCCTGTTAATGCAGACAGATTTTACTGTAAGGGTTTTCCCTGTAAATACAGACAGATTTTACTGTAAGGGTTTCCCTGTAACTGCAGACAGATTTTACTGAAAGGGTTTTCCCTTTGTGTTCAGACAAATTTTACTGTAATGGTTTCCCCTGTAACTGCAGACAGATTTTACTGGAATGGTTTCCCCCTGTAACTGCAGACAGATTTTACTGTAAGGGTTTCCCCTGTGTATTCAGATAGATTTTATTGTAGGGGTTTCCCCTGTTAATGCAGACAGATTTTACTGTAAGGGTTTTCCCTGTGTATTCAGATAGATTTTATTGTAGGGGTTTCCCCTGTTAATGCAGACAGATTTTACTGTAAGGGTTTCCCCTGTGTATTCAGATAGATTTTATTGTAGGGGTTTCCCCTGTTAATGCAGACAGATTTTACTGTAAGGGTTTCCCCTGTAACTGCAGACTGATTTTACTGTATGGGTTTTCCCTGTGTATTCAGACAGATTTTACTGTAAGGGTTTTCCTGTAACTGCGGACAGATTTTACTGAAAGGGTTTTCCCTTTGTGGTCAGACAAATTTTACTGTAAGGGTTTCCCCTGTAACTGCAGACTGATTTTACTGTATGGGTTTTCCCTGTGTATTCAGACAGATTTTACTGTAAGGGATTTCCCTGTAAATGCTGACAGATTTTGCTGTAAGGGTTTTCCATGTAAATGCAGACATATTTTACTGTAAGGGATTTCCCTGTAAATTCAGACAGATTTTACTGTAAGGGTTTTCCCTGTGTATTCAGACAGATTTTCCTGTAAGGTTTTTCCCTGTGTATTCAGACAGATTTTACTGTAAGGGTTTCCCCTGTGTATGCAGACATATTTTACTGTAAGGGTTTTCCCTGTGTATTCAGATAGATTTTATTGTAGGGGTTTCCCCTGTTAATGCAGACAGATTTTACTGTAAGGGTTTTCCCTGTAAATACAGACAGATTTTACTGTAAGGGATTTCCTGTAACTGCAGACAGATTTTACTGAAAGGGTTTTCCTTTGTGTTCAGACAAATTTTACTGTAAGGGTTTCCCCTGTAACTGCAGACTGATTTTACTGTATGGGTTTTCCCTGTGTATTCAGACAGATTTTACTGTAAGGGTTTCTCTTGTAACTGCAGACAGATTTTACTGTAAGGGTTTTCCCTGTAAATGCAGACAGATTTTACTGTAAGGGTTTCCCCTGTGTATTCAGACAGATTTTTCTGTAAGGGTTTTCCCTATGTATTCAGACAGATTTTACTGTAAGGGTTTTCCTGTAACTGCGGACAGATTTTACTGAAAGGGTTTTCCCTTTGTGGTCAGACAAATTTTACTGTAAGGGTTTCCCCTGTAACTGCAGACAGATTTTACTGGAATGGTTTCCCCCTGTAACTGCAGACAGATTTTACTGTAAGGGTTTCCCCTGTAACTGCAGACTGATTTTACTGTATGGGTTTTCCCTGTGTATTCAGACAGATTTTACTGTAAGGGATTTCCCTGTAACTGCAGACAGATTTAACTGTAAGGGTTTTCCCTGTGTATTCAGACAGATTTTACTGTAAGGGTTTCTCTTGTAACTGCAGACAGATTTTACTGTAAGGGTTTCCCCTGTAACGGCAGACTGATTTTACTGTATGGGTTTCCCCTGTAACTGCAAACAGATTTTACTGTAAGGGTTTCCCCTGTGTATGCAGACATATTTTACTGTAAGGGTTTTCCCTGTGTATTCAGACAGATTTTACTGTAAGGGTTTCCCCTGTGTATGCAGACATATTTTACTTTAAAGGTTTTCCCTGTGTATTCAGACAGATTTTACTGTAAGGGTTTTCCCTATGTATTCAGACAGATTTTACTGTAAGGGTTTCCCCTGTAACTGCAGACAGATTTTACTGTAAGGGTTTCCCCTGTAACTGCAGACATATTTTATTGTAAGGATTTCCCTTGTATCTGCAGACAGATTTTACTGTAAGGGTTTTCCCTGTGTATTCAGACAGATTTTACTGTAAGGGTTTCCCCTGTGTATGCAGACATATTTTACTTTAAAGGTTTTCCCTGTGTATTCAGACAGATTTTACTGTAAGGGTTTTCCCTATGTATTCAGACAGATTTTACTGTAAGGGTTTCCCCTGTAACTGCAGACATATTTTATTGTAAGGATTTCCCTTGTAAATGCAGACAGATTTTACTGTAAGGGTTTTCCCTGTGTATTCAGACAGATTTTACTGTAAGGTTTTTCCCTGTGTATTCAGACAGATTTTACTGTAAAGGTTTACCATGTGTATTCAGACAAATTTTACTGTAAGGGATTTCCCTGTGTATTCAGACAGATTTTACTGTAAGGGGTTCCCTTGTAAATGCAGACAGATCTTATTGTATTGGTTTCCCTTGTAAATGCACACAGATTTTATTGTAAGGGTTTCCCCTGTGTATACAGAAAGATTTTACTGTAAGGGTTTTCCCTGTGTATGCAGACAGATTTTACTGTAAGGGTTTCCCCCTGTAAATGCAGACAGATTTAACTGTAAGGGGTTCCCCTATAAATGCAGACAGATTTTACTGTAAGGGATTTCCCTGTAAATGCAGACAGATTTTACTGTAAGGGTTTCTCCAGTAAATGCAGATAGATTTTACTATAAAGGTTTTCCCTGTGTATTCAGACAGATTTTACTGTAATTGTTCCCCTGTAAACGCAGACAGATTTTACTGTAAGGTTTCCCCCTGTAAATGCAGACAGATTTTACTGTAAGGGTTTCCCCCTGCAAATGCAGATAGATTTAACTGTAAGGGGTTCCCCTATAAATGCACACAGATTTTACTGTAAGGGGTTACCCTGTAAATGCAGACAGATTTTACTGTAAGGGGTTACCATGTGTATTCAGACAGATTTTACTGTAAGGGTTTACCATGTGTATTCAGACAGATTTTACTGTAAGGGATTTCCCTGTGTATTCAGACAAATTTTACTGTAAGGGGTTCCCCTGTTAATGCAGACAGATTTTACTGTAAGGGTTTTCCCTGTGTATTCAGATAGATTTTATTGTAGGGGTTTCCCCTGTTAATGCAGACAGATTTTATTGTAGGGGTTTCCCCTCTGTATTCAGACAGATTTTACTGTAAGGGTTTTCCCTGTGTATTCAGATAGATTTTACTGTAAGGTTTTTCCCTGTGTATGCAGACAGATTTTACTGTAAGGGTTTTCCCTGTGTATTCAGACAGATTTTACTGTAAGGGTTTCCCTTGTAAATGCAGACAGATTTTACTGTAAGGGTTTTCCCTGTGTATGCAGACAGATTTGACTGTAAGGGTTTTTCCCTGTGTATTCAGACAGATTTTACTGTAAGGGTTTTCTCTGTGTATTGAAACAGATTTTACTGTAAGGGTTTTCCCTGTGTATGCACAGATTTTACTGTAAGGCTTTTCCTTGTTCTGAGTATGTTTTTATAACACTTACTTTAAATCCCTTTGAATTTATCAAATGTCATTTCTTTTAAAATTTTAAAAATGTCAACAGCTGATGACTTCATCAACTGTCATGAATATATCTGGGGAAAATTATGCCGAGTGCTGAAATGATTAAACCTTGTAAACGGTGGTACCTGCACAGCTCCATTGCGATGCGAATTGGATGCATGGTAAGGTGGGCACCAGTCCTGACCAGCAGGGTGATGATCTGATGGTTTTTACTGATGATGGCATCATTGAGAGGGGTGTGGTCATGCTGGTCCTTTGTGTGGATTGTTGACCCGTGGTGGAGGAGGTACTGTACTACAGGCAGGTGGCCTTCTCTAGAAGCCACGTGTAATGCTGTTCGTCCATCTTGGTTTCCAGCTGACAAATTGCCACCCTGAGTAGGAAAAATACATTTAATAATTACATCATGCCCAGTTAAATCGGTAACTTAGTTATAGTCCAGAAATTTAACTTTATTGAGAGGATGCCATCATCATGAAATTGACTGCAAAATAATGTTTAAATCCTTAAAAAAAGATAGAACATATAAAATTGTCAAGAGAAAAATCAGGATAAAACCACATATTCACCTAAACAAAAGTCTATAGTCGATAAATGTAATACAAGAGTCAGTTAGCTTTGATCAATATGAATATGATCATTCTTTAGAGAACACTTATCTACGAACATTTTCAACATTTATTATCTGCCCTTTGATCTACGTACAGTGGTCCTTAGTCTCTCCAGGGCCTGGACATCGTTACTCTTGGCAGCAGCACACATCAGATTAGGATAGAGAGCATCTTTCAGCTTTACAGTTTCCTCCTTAGTGCTGATACTGAGAGCCTTAGCCACAGAGTCGATCAACTCAAAGTCCAGAATGGAAATATCCTCAATGTGGAGAGAGCGGACTTCTCCTCGCAGGTTTCTTTTCATCATCTGAAATAAACAATCTTTAAACTTGAATCGTTGTAGTTAATAACCACAGCTCAAATATCTTTGGTGAACATTTTAGTCTGAAAACTATCACTTAACAGAATTTAGGAATTGGTTGTACATTTGTTATGATTGCTAATCTTTAAACCTTAAATATTTTAACCTCAATAGTTACAAACAATGCTCATCTTCCTCTTTATTGGTTCATAGTCATATTTTATTTTCATCTTCATCTTAATAAATATTCGTTAAAGGATCTCTGCCCCACTGCACTTTGGTTTTTCCTATATTCCCTTAACTTCCGTTTGGATGTAACTGTAGAACATTTGGTGTAGAACAATTCCGTCGACTAGGTAGCTCAACTGAATAGAGCGATAGTTTAGCAGTCTGACATTCTGGGTTCAGATCTGGGTCTAGCCCCACAGTGGGGTTTTAACAGAACACTGTTGTTGATTGCATTTTGTTTATTTTATCTTGATTAACTCTCTTAAAAGTCCTGCAAGATATGGTTTTAACGATTGATCAATGCTAGCCATGCCGGAAAACACAGTTTCCAATACTTAAAAGTTACCGTTTCTGGCAGTGGTACTGGGATCCTTAATCATGATTTACTACAAACATCACCTCAGTATAGAGGACAATAGGGTTTTACTAACATTCATCAGTCATCCGTACTTCCTCTTTCTTGTTAATATACAGTAAAACCTATCTAAACCGGCTCCTGTCTAATCTGGATCCCTCTCTGGCATATTCCCTATATAATCATAGTTAAACCATGTATAAACCGGACCCGGTCCATTCCAAAAACCGGTGTTGTTTCACAAAAGTTGGCATAGTAATCCATGTAAAAACAACCTGTTTATTCCGGCTCTGAAATTTCTCTTGGCCGGCTTCAATCTAAAACAAACACATTCTTAACAAATTAGCGCCATCCAATGTCGGGCCGAGTCATGGTCGACTGTGAGGTGCCCAAGGGGTTATTTACCGGTGATTGTTATAACTTACGTGAGGTGATCAACAACTACTCACAATGCATGCACGATTTTGTTATACAATAGCTTGAACTAATTTATATGTATTTTTGATAATAAATGACAAACATGTCTGTCTGTTGTGCCTTGGCTTCAGGATGAATCGTACACGTGTATGCACACCATGCAAACAGAAAAAAACGATTGTTGGGTTCAAATGAAAAAAAAATTGAAATGATAAAAACTTCAGAAACATTTCCAAAACCGATTCGTAAGGACCTTTCCCAACTTTATGGAGTCAGGACATCCACAGTGTCGGACGTTTTGAAAAAAAAAGGATGAACTAAAAAAACAACTCTTCGACAATGTTTCTAGTTCCTGTAAACGTTATAAGAGTGGTTCAAAGTTTTCTGATTTGAACACATTGGTACTGAAATGGTTTGAGCAGGCCCGGGTAAAAAGTCTCCCAATCAGTGGACCGATTTTGCAGGAAAAGACTTTATGGGGATGACATGGCAACCCCAGCCTCTGGATCAGATATGACACACCGGGAAGTATATTCGTGTCTGACTGAGATGTTTGCTTTTGCGGTAAACAAGAATGACCACTTTTTAGAATCTATTGCGTATTGACACAATCGTATACAGATTGTATGCAAAACACTACATTTTTGCATTTTCAAAAAATGGCATGCCGACCCTGAATAAAGCGGACACCTGTGTAAACCAGCCAATTAGTTTGGTTCCGATGACATCCGGTTTAGACAGGTTATACTGTATGTACAGTATGAAACTGTGAATAAATACTCGTAGCTTTTTTTGGTGGATTTCATGAAACACATGCAGTCATGTAATAACAGCCATCAAGTTTAATTAACAACACAATTCATTCCAGTTGATTCATACCTTACACTTGTTGATTCATACCTTACGCTTGTTGATTCATACCTTACGCTTGTTGATTCAAACCTCACGCTTGTTGATTCATACCTCACACTTGTTGATTCATACCTTACAGTTGTTGATTCATACTTTACACTTGTTGATTCATACCTCATGCTTGTTGATTCATACCTTACACTTGTTGATTCATACCTCATGCTTGTTGATTCAAACCTCACGCTTGTTGATTCATACCTCACACTTGTTGATTCATACCTTACACTTGTTGCTTCATACCTTACACTTGTTGATTCATACCTTACGCTTGTTGATTCATACCTTACGCTTATTGATTCATACCTTACACTTGTTGATTCATATCTTACACTTGTTGATTCATACCTTACACTTGTTGATTCATACCTTACGCTTGTCTTCCAAAGGCGAGCTTTTACTGAGTACGTAGCAGAGTTTGGTGAGAGCTGCCTCCGCTGTCATATCGCCCCCAGGTATCACTCCCTTATCATAAAGTGCCTGTCACAACATTGAAATAGAAACTTCATCTTCATTTGTGTGACAACATTTTACAATTAACTGTAATTCTAAAACATTTGAGATGTAAGACAGCATTTGATTGGTCAATAAAATATTTGCGACCATACAGCCACAATATACTGTCTGCAAAATTCTCACTTGATAATGAAGAACAGATGGCATTATTAATGACGTGTATAATGTTATTCTGCCTTTGTGAATGCTTCTGCAGTGAAACAGAATTCTGCAAAAACGTAAATGGCTGTTATGACTTTTTAATTAATGATACAGTCAGAAGGTTTGTATTGATATTCAAAAACTTCTGAAAAATTAAATAAAGCAAATTTTATATTTCCAGGGAGATAACACTAATAATCTTCAGTCATTGCTACCTAGCTTTTTTAAAGATGGTTTTGCATAGCAATTAGAATAAAGACGTCATAAATATCCACAGATTTAGAAAATTCTTGATTTTGCTATGTAGTTTCATCCCACCGAAATGTTTTTAAAGGTTGGTAAGTCAGAGGAACACACATTTTGTACAAGATTGTCATTCCATATTGCCTTTAATTTACCTTTCCTGTGGCATAAGTAGCATCCACATACCCTCGGGTACACTGTGTGATATTAATGATTATCACTCCTATATTGATGGCCTCTTCTATGGCCTTTAAAAGTTCTGGGCGGTTGTCGGGGGCGTTACCAGCCCCGTACGACTGAAGGACCACTCCCTGCATTGGTGGCTGGAGAAACAATCGCACCTGGAAATATAAAATAATTCCACATGCGAAGCTGAATTATTAAGTGAACTTGAGCAAGTGTATAAGTGTGAGTCGCTTACATAGATATACCCCCTGATTGTGCTTACACTTGCTTCTGGAGCAGAAATTTAAAGTTTGAAGGTCCATAACTCCGGAAAAAAATGGTTGAATCGCAAATTCCTTTCTTCATGCACATCTAAATAACATTTGGTGAACTTTCAATTTGTCTAGTTACAAAACAAATCCAAGCAATGGTTAAGGAGGAGTTGTGCTTACAAGGATCACGGACAGATGGATAAAAAAATGTTGTGATCAACTAATTTATTACATTTGTAAGCCAACACAGACCATCCAGGCACTTGGTTTTATCAATCACTTGAAACACATGTAGTGAACTGAATATGTGTCTCCAAAATTGTCGACTGGAAACTGGGACAATCTGACAAACAAAACAGGTCAAATTTAAGTTTTGAAAATTCTGTACCAAGAGATTGCTGGACAGAGGGACAACTCGACAGCAAAGTAGAACTGTACAATAGCAAATACACATTATTTAATTACGCTAAAACAAAATGGCAAACACCAGTTTTGGCAAAAAGCAGAAATTCTGCTTCCTGTTAATGGAAAACAAAATGACCTTCCTTAATATGATGACTACTCAATTTCCCCTGGTAGCAGGTACCGTGAAATCACTAATTTTTGGGGGTCTTTTAGTTACGTTGATTTTTGAAGGTAATCTTCATCCACAAATTTATAGGTCCACGAAGTGATAACAAATTTGACATTGAGCAATTCTCCGTGTGAGTGAATACTCGTAATCTACAAATTTATATACCTGCAAAATGGTTGTTTTTCAGGAAACCATTAAATTTGAGCCTCACAAAAATATCTGATTTCACAGCAACTTGTTTATACTAAAAACTGTTGACAAAATTTACACATAGGACACGGAATGACCACACTTGATTTGACCACTACACAATTTCTGCATTCATTTGACAGAGTGATGACAGCTGACATGCTGCAATTTTACAATTTATCATTCTGACATCTTACCAGCTGTTCCGAGATGCCTGGAAAAAGTCTTAATAGACCCACATTCTGACACATTCCACAGTGGATACGGAACTTTTCTGTGGTACCACTTCTAAACACAAGGGACCAATCAACTTAAAGTAAAAAGAGAAACATAGGTTAACACAGTGGTTTGCCTATAAACACCCCTTAAACATTGCTGAGAAGAACTTGACAGGAGACAACTGAACTGTTTACTGATGAGATGAAGCGAAACATTCATTGGTACTTTACTTTCTTGATTTTACATTGACAAATTAGTTACTGTATACTGGGAATGGTTTTGCCACAGTTTAACTTTTGCCTTATTTCATCTTCGGGTAATGTGGGGGAATTTATTACGATAGCTAACATTAGTAAACAACAAAATTAACACAGCAATCAAACACGAAGGGTGAAATCATTACGGGGCGAATACGGATTTTACCAGCCTAGTTTGACTGGGCAAAGGTTTTCTGGTATACAGTAGTTCTTTCATAAACTGCTAGTTTGAACTTGAGTCAGTATAGTCTCTTACATATTCACAACAGTTATATTTGCTATCTGACTGCAACCCTGAAAATAATGTTAAACTTGTCTGTAATGCATTAGTTATCACTGTACATGACTGTTGTAATGCTTGTATTGTAATGCTCGTATACTTATATATGTATGACCTGTTAAATTATCGTGAGGGTATTTTTAGTGACAATATGGTCATGATTAAACGTAATCGCCGTCAATGGAGATACCCTGGTACCCGGAGAAAATAAGTGGGTTCATGAATTCCAGAAAAAACAAACATGTATCGCAGATTATGACTTATGTCAAGTTCTTTAAAAGTTGTGTACACTTGTTGATGGGCCCTTTAAAGGACCCAATGTGTATGTCAACAACGGATTACAGGGACTGTTTGCATACTTGAGTGTCACCAACAATGATGGCCATATGATCAGTGTACCTTGTCTCTTCAAATTTCACCACATACTGATGTTAATCTGTCTGGATAAAGCTGAAATATCATACAGGACTTAACTGTGAATTCTGTCAGGACTTGACCTATAATATCGGTTGGGATTTACCAGTGATGTTTATCAAGATTTACCTGTGATGTTGATAGGACTTACCTGTGATGTTGATAGGACTTACCTGTGATGTTAATAGGACTCACCTGTGATATTGATAGGATTTACCTGTGATGTTGATAGGACTTACCTGTGATGTTGATAGGACTTACCAGCTGTGATGTTGATAGGATTTACCTGTGATGTTGATAGGACTTACCTGTGATGTTGATAGGATTTACCTGTGATATTGATAGGACTTACCTGTGATGTTGATAGGACTTACCTGTGATGTTGATAGGATTTACCTGTGATATTGATAGGACTTACCTGTGATGTTGATAGGACTTACCTGTGATGTCTGTCTCAAGCTCTGCTATAGCTGCTATGTTGGGTGATATGAAAGCATCAAAACTACCTGAGTCATTCTTAATGGTCCTATTGCCCCTCAACACCTTGTTCCCAAACAACACTAACACCTGTAATTATAAACGTTACAACAGTTAATAATGTCAGCAACCATAATTGCCTTATCTAACCCTTAGGCTGCTACGCACCACAATAGTCGTTTCGAAAAGTCAGGCCGTCAGTGCTACGAACCACTATAGTGGTGCGCGGTCTGTAAGTTATTGATCAGTAAACAGGAAGTGTGAAAGCGGACTGTTGCTATACCCAACCCGAAAGCGTATAGTAGAAGGCTTCTGATTGGTTGTTTTGTCATTACTTTCGATATTCCCGGCAATGTACCCTAGTAATATTCAAAGTGTGCGAGAGAATTTCAAATCGGAAAAAAGTCATAAAAATGGCGGACGTGTAGATTGAAGTGATGAATATGATGGTAAACATTTATTCTCCAGCATCACCTACGATGATAATAAAGGTTTTAAAGGGTTTGACATAATATGTAACTTTCCAATGTACGACTTTGTGCCCTATGCAAACATGAAAATATCGGTGGACCGAGGCACACGGCGTCTGCAGGTGAGGCCAAATTAAACATTGACATTGATACGTTTTGAGCCGATTGATTTCTTCAAACTATTTATCGATGATTTAATCAAAAACTAGACCATAGCTAAGATATATCTATATGCCGACTGTGACAATAAATATATTGAATGACGACCTGAAACCTGTAGCAAATCACATGCAATTCTTGATGAAATACCTGACCTTTTTACCTGAGAATCTCCGTGTAAATGTACTGCGTCTTAATGTCATAAATGAAGTTTATAATCTCTGTTATCATTTTCCAATCACATTTGCTGACAAAAACAATTTTAAAATGATCTTTCTGGTGCTTAAATCCGATTAATTAAAAGTTTCACCTTTTCTTACCTTTATTACCACCTGTACAGGTAAATACTAAAGCAACTTTAGAATCGAAAACATTAATATAAACTATACAATAACGAACAATTTTCCTATAACTTTTATTCACATATAACAAATATTTTTCAAGTTACGGTAAACCTTCGGTCAGTTCGAACAAAATTAAATAAATATTGATGAACCTGTTCGGATTATACAAAATTATGCTTCAGAAAATAAGCGTGAGTTCGAACTATTGGCAAAAATTTCGGCAAAGTGCAAATCAAGTCACAAACATATACCCCACATATTTCTTCATCGGAGTATACCTCTATATATCCAATGTAAGGTCGATACGTAACAACGACGACCTGGCATAGAACAATGGCACATTTATAAATGGGTAAAATGATAGTATATTATTTAATTCAATGCTAATTGATCATTAAACTTTCTTCATTTCGTGATAATTATGATCAGTATTGCGAAGCAGAGGCCCTTGTGTAGGCCCCGAAACAGTACACGTTTCATTTGTGAAACAAAAGTTAAGACTACCTAGCTTGTATCAGAGACCTAAATATTGAGTCTCTGCGTGGGTAGGTTTTATTTGAATCAGAAACTATTGTGTATATTATTTCGTAATGAATGGTCCGTTTAATAAATTTAAAACATAGTCTACATAACCTGTTGCATTTACAAAGCGCTACTGTACAGTAAATATAGGTCTATATGTTAGTAAAATTAGGTCAGAACATCAACATGTCTGCTTTAAATTATAAGTGATATAGTCCTAATACCTACCAAACTTATTTGACACCTTCAAAATTACCCATCGCTAATTGGGACACCTGTGTATTGTTTGGACTTTGACATGAATGCTAATCACGTCACTCACCATGGCTGGGCGGCCGATTCCTACCGTGACATCGTGTCCTGCCCTACCTGGTGTGAGGCACACGTTTACAGGTAATACCTTGATTGGCAATAATTAAGGGATGTCTGGTCGCAATAAAATAATCAAAATACTTAGTTAACACTGTATTTGACAACACACCGGCGATTTCTTAGCGTACAGCCATACAGCGTGACATCAGTTCGTACTGATGGCATGTTATTTATACATTGTCGGGGCCTAAGTTGAAATTGGCTGTCTCGTGCATGTGTATTTTTCAAACAATGTAAAAACAAGAGGCCCAGAGGGCCTGTATCGCTCACCTGATTATAATTAAAGTAATTGGTATGAAGTAAAGATATAGCACTCTATGGTAGGTGCTGTAAGTACATATGAAATTTCAGAAAGATCCATCCAGTACTTGAGATATAGAGAAACAAACTTCAGACAGAGCCCCACACCTATGCTCCTACGGGGGTCATACCCACCAATTATACAAAATTGAGTCACCGTCACCCAAGGATGCTCCTCACTAAATAAGGATAAAATCCCTTGATCCCGATGGTCGGAGGAGGATTTTAAAGGTTTTACCTCTATTTCTCCTATTGGGCACCGCCCTTCTGCCCCCCTCGGAGACCACACCTACTGCTAATACAAAATTGAGTCCCCTTTGCCCAAGGATGCTCCAGACTAAATGAGGATAAAATCCCTTAATCCCTATGGTAGAAGAAGGATTTTAAAGGTTTTACCTCTTTTTTCCATATTGGGCCCTGCCTCTCTGCCTGCAGGGGGGTCAGACACACCGTTTATATAAAATTGATTCCCCATACCCAAGAATGCTTCAGACCAAATATGGACAAAATCCTGTCATTCCTACAGAAGAAGAAGGATTTTGAAGATTAACGTCTATTTCCCCTATTGGGCCCCACCCCTCAGGTCCCAGGGGGCCACACCCACCGTTTATACAAAATTGGTTCCCCTTTAGCCAAGGATGTTCCACACCAAATATGGACCAAATCCTTTCATTCCTACAAAAGATAAGAATTTTAAAGAATAATTTGCTATGTTTCCCCTATTGGGCCCCGCCCCTAAGGCCCCTGGGGGGCCAGACCATTGCTTAATACAAAATTGGTTCCCTTTCACCCAAGGATGCTCCACACCAAATATGGACCAAATCCTTTCATTCCTACAGAAGAAGAAGGATTTTAAAGAATAATTTGCTATGTTTCCCCTATTGGGCCCCGCTGCTCAGGCACCTGGGGGGCCAGATCCACGGGGTATACAAAGTTGGTTCCCCTTCACCCAAGAATGCTTCAGACCAAATATGGAACAAATCCTTTCATTCCTACAGAAGAAGGATTTTAAAAAAATTGCTTTGTTTCCCCTGTTGGGCCCCGCCCCTCAGCCCCCAAGGGGGCCAGACCCACCATTTATACAAACTTTGTTCCCCTTCCCCCAAGGATGCTTCTGACCAAATATGGACCAAATCCTTTCATTCCTACAGAAGAAGAAGGATTTTAAAGAATAATTTGCTATGTTTCCCCTATTGGGCCCCGCCCCTCAGGCCCCTGGGGAGCCAGACCCACGGTTTATACAAAATTGGTTCCCCTTCCCCCAAGGATGCTTCTGACCAAATATGGACCAAATCCTTCCATTCCTACAGAAGAAGAAGAATTTTTGAAGAATTTGCTATATTTCCCTTATTNACACGATATACTCTTTCTTAATCCGAACTATGAAAATGTGATCGTCAGCATCGGGAAAATCAGCTATGGGCAGTTAGAGGTTACGCGGCGCCTGTCAAAAGTTTTTTGCCGTGTAAAACCTCTACCATTGTTGGAGTAGTCACTCACCATGGCTGGGCAGCCGATTCCTACCGCGACATTGTGTCCTGCCCTACCTGGTGTGAGGGCACAAGTTTACAGGTAATACCTTGATTGGCAATAATTAAGGGATGTCTGGTCGCAATAAAATAATCAAAATGCTTAATTAACACTGTATTTGACAACACACGGGCGAATTTTTTTAGCGTACAGCCATACAGCGTGACATCATNACCAAATTTTGTTAAAATCCACTCAGTAGTTCATGACTAGTAGTGTAAAGTTGACGGACGACGGACGCTGCGGTATGGCATAAGCTCACCTTGGTCCTTCAAACCAGGTGAGCTAAAAATGAATCAACGCTTAAACCTGTGACATATATTTATGGTTTGTCTGTCACAGCTGTACTGCAATGCTCACACATACAACCCATTACCCTAAACGTGTCTGTTGATCAAAGTATTGGCATTTTTCCGGGGCCGATCGCCGTGAGCTTTCAATGGAGTTTGCCGAAAAAAAATCTTACTTTACATTTTCATTTGACAAGTTCGGACTATCCGAAATAGGGTCAATCAGAGTTTGAACTATTACTAGCTAGAAAATTATTGTTTTTATTGAAAAAAATCTGTGTTCAAACTATCCGCCAATTCGAACTGACTGGAGGTTTACCGTATGCGCATTTGAAAAATTATGTAAATTGATTTATATTTCAAAAATTAATTCAGCAGTGGCATCCCTTTACATAGAAATCAATGTAGCAGCCTAAGGGTTAAGGTGTGCAATTGTAGAGCCATCCCAAAAGCTAAGGATTCAACAACCAATAATGTCCAATAAGGAACAGGTGATAAGCACTCTAGAATAGTTCATGAAACAATGTTGGCAAATGATCATTTCTGGAACAGTTTTAAATGCAGAATATATCATGATGTAAACTAATTGCTTATCTTCCAAAAATTTATAAAGTTTTGAAACTGTCAACCATCAAACATACCTCTGGTATACAAAACTGTCCAGCCACCACCAGTGCTGACAGGAAGTTATCTCTCCCGTCACTTCTCACCTCAAATATCGGAATCTGTAACAAATAAACAATCATTTTACTGGCTATTCTCAGGTTCCCATATCTGGGGTTGATTGTTCTATTGTAATAACTGTTCTTGGGTACCTGAAGTCACATATTCAATGAGGATGATAAATTTCAAACCTGTGATCCTGTTAGGATAACAGGATCATCTACCTGTGATGCTTTGAGAACAATAGATTTAAATATCTGTAATAATTTCAGGACATCAGATTTATTTACATTTAAGGATTACCACCTTTGATCCTGTAAGGAAGATTGGTTTACCTACCTGTGACCATGCAAGAAAGATTGATTTAATTACCTGTGACCCTGCAAGTAAGAGCTTTACTTACCTGTGACCCTGTAAGGATGTTTTGTTTACTTACCTGTGACCATATAAGGATGTTTTGTTTACTTACCTGTGACCCTGTAAGGATGTTTTGTTTACTTACCTGTGACCATATAAGGATGTTTTGTTTACTTACCTGTGACCCTGTAAGGATGTTTTGTTTACTTACCTGTGACCATATAAGGATGTTTTGTTTACTTACCTGTGACCCTGTAAGGATGTTTTGTTTACTTACCTGTGACCATATAAGGATGTTTTGTTTACTTACCTGTGACCCTGTAAGGATGTTTTGTTTACTTACCTGTGACCCTATACGGATGTTTTTACTTACCTGTGACCCTGTAAGGATGTTTTGTTTACATACCTGTGACCCTGTAAGGACAATTGAATTGGTTTATTTACCTGTGACATTGTAATTAAGGATGTTTTGTTTACTTACCTGTGACCCTATCAAGACAATTGGTTCACATACCATTGACCCTATAAGGATGATCAGTTTACTTACTTGTGACCCTGTAAGGACAATCGGTTTACTTACCTGTGACCCTATAAGGATGATCAGTTTACTTACTTGTGACCCTGTAAGGATGATCAGTTTACTTACCTGAGACCCTGTAAGGATAATCAGTTTACTTACCTGTGACCCTATAAGGATAATCAGTTTACTTACCTGTGACTCTGTAAGGATAATCAGTTTACTAACCTGTGACCCTATAAGGACGATCGGTTTACTTATCTGTGACCCTGTAAGGACGATCGGTTTACTTACTTGTGACCCTGTAAGGACGATCTGTTTACTTACCTGTGACCCTGTAAGGACGATCTGTAAGGACGATCAGTTTACTTACTTGTGACCCTGTAAGGACGATCGGTTTACCAAGGTTCTCACACATGAAGGATAAAGCAGAAGCTGTGTAAGCCATAGTGTCAGTTCCATGGAGGATTACAAACCCATCATAGTCATCATAGAAAGTCTGTAAAAGTACAAATAGACAGTCTTTCAATTCAATGATCCATGCAATTTTACACATGAATTCTTGTGATTTGTGTTAGAGTTCTTTCCCCTAAAAACATTTGATAAGCTTTCGTTGAAAAATAAATGCAATATTGACCAACTGTTGTTGATTCCTTTATTCTTTTGTACTTTTCAAATTTGTCATCAATTCTTGTGTACCTTTCAAATGTGTCATCAATTCTTGGGTACTTTTCATATGTGGCTTAAATTTTGGGTACTTCTCAAATATGTCGTTCCTTTCAAATGTGTCATGAATTCTTGTGTATACTTTTCATATACGTCATCAATTTTTGAGTACCTTTCAAATGTGTCATCAATTCTTGTGTACTTTTCAAATGTGCCATTAATTTTTAGTAACTTTCAAATGTGTCATCAATTCTTGGGTACTTTTCATATGTGGCTTTAATTTTTGGGTACTTCTCAAATATGTCATCAATTTTTGAGTTCCTTTCAAATGTGTCATGAATTCTTGTGTATACTTTTCATATATGTCATCAATTTTTGAATACCTTTCAAATGTGTCATCAATTCTTGGGTATTAATTTTTAGTACCTTTCAAATGTGTCATGAAATCCTGCGTACCTTTCAAATGTGTCATCAATTCGTGTACTTTTCATATACGTCATCAATTTTTGAGTACCTTTCAAATGTGTCATCAATTCTTGTGTACTTTTCAAAAGTGCCATTAATTTTTGAGTACCTTTCAAATGTGACATCAATTTTTGTTTACCTTTCAAATGTGTCATTAATTTGTGTGTTCTTTTCATATATGTCATCAATGTTTGAGTACTTTTCAAAAGAGTCATGAGTTCTTGTGTACTTTTCAAATGTGCCATTAATTCTTGTGTACTTTTCAAATCTGCCATTAATTTTTAGTACCTTTCAAATGTGTCATCAATTCTTGTGTACTTTTCAAAAGTGCCATTAATTTTTGAGTACCTTTCAAATGTGACATCAATTTTTGTTTACCTTTCAAATGTGTCATTAATTTGTGTGTTCTTTTCATATATGTCATCAATGTTTGAGTACTTTTCAAAAGAGTCATGAGTTCTTGTGTACTTTTCAAATGTGCCATTAATTCTTGTGTACTTTTCAAATCTGCCATTAATTTTTAGTACCTTTCAAATGTGTCATCAATTCTTGTGTACTTTTCAAAAGTGCCATTAAGTTTTGAGTACCTTTCAAATGTGACATCAATTTTTGTTTACCTTTCAAATGTGTCATTAATTTGTGTGTTCTTTTCATATATGTCATCAATGTTTGAGTACTTTTCAAAAGAGTCATGAATTCCTGTAAACATTTCAACTCTCATCAATTCTTGTGTATCCTTCAAATATGTCATCAACTATTGTTTACTTTTTTCTTACCGATATGTCATTGGCTATCTTTGACCAGTCACTCATGTTCATGTTGCTCGAGTCCAATAGAGGGTTGTACTCCTTTATGTAGTATTTCACCCTTCGTCCACTTCTCATCAGTCTGTAAAACAAAACAACAACAACTGTGACACAAAATAAATTAAGAGACGAGTTTGTAGTCTGCAGCAAGTGGATTTTTTTTATCTAGACCAAGATAAATTTGAATAATTATTAAAAGCTAGTGGACTTTTAAGAGTCACTCTATGAGAACACTTTGATGCCAATCCGTCCAATTGTGATTTTGAATCGGGAAAATAATATTACCACTTGGTCAAGACCATAAGCAAATTTTATAGGCATCAAATCAGAAATATATTTTTTCTCACAACCACTATAGGTTTCCTCATTCCCAACTCACTGGATAAACCTGCTAGAAATCACTGGATAAACCTGCTAGAAATCACTGGATAAACCTGCTAGAAATCACTGGATAAACCTGCTAGAAGTATCAAGTTGGTAAACAGTTTTGGCTAACTATTAGTGGATAACACCCTTAACGTGATTTCTTACGACGTCATCTTCCATTGTGACGTACGTCAATAGTTCATGGCAATTGCTTCCCCCCCATCAGAAACAGAAATACAGAAATATATTCCACGAGAAAAATATGGTTTCCTTGATATAATAATTGACATTGTTGGGGGGCGTTCTCAAGCTCGCAATGGTTGATTGTCATGTTTATCTAATTCAGAAATACACTGTCTATAGTCCATATCAGAAATACACAGTCTACAGTCTATATCTGAAATACACTGTCTACAGTCCATATCAGAAATGCACCTTCTACAGTCCGTATCAGAAATACACTGTCTACAGTCCATATCAGAAATATGCAGTCTACAGTCCATATCAGAAATACACTGTCTACAGTCCATATCAGAAATACACTGTCTACAGTCCATATCAGAAATACACTGTCTACAGTCTATATCAGAAATATACAGTCTACATCAGAAATTTACAGTATATAGCCGAATTGATACTCTAGAAAATTGAATTGAGCTCATCCCGCCGCATGCATGTTCCATTGTGTGGAATTTATGCCAAATACAGTGATAATAAATGGGAATTTGTTTAATAAACTTATTTCATATTCATCATATATTTCTAAATATATATATATATTGTATTTGTACGATATAATTGCAGAATGAGAATTAAAGTCGAAATGTTACTTTGCCAAGCAAGCATTAGCTTGTAAATTACTAACAAGAGGCCCAGAGGGCCTGTATTGCTCACCTGTTTCTTTTGTTACATGAAACTGATATATAGGTAACTTCAGACCAAATTTGGTAAAGACATTTTAACATATCTTAAATGGTTCTTAAGACATTGTTGTTTGATGTTTGAAATTTTAATTCGAAAGCTTTTAACCCACATTTACCTTTGACCTCAAACTAGCACTTAAAGTTGACCTTTGACCTCATTACTTTTATTTAGAAAGAGATTCACACTGCTAGTCTACATAACATATGACTCTAGTCCAAATGGTACTTAGGATATTGTTGTTTGAACTTTTTACCATATTTGACCCCTGTGACCTTGAAAGTAGGTCAAGGTCATTTTAATGAGAAAACTTAATGGCACTCCATCCCAGGTACCTACTGGGCAAATATCATGGCCCTTGGCCTTATGGAACTTGAGAAGAAGATTGTTAAAGGTTTTTACCTACATTGACCCTTGACCCCGGCTAGCACTTCAAAGTTTAACTTTGACCTCATTACAATAACTAAGAGAAAGATTTGCACTGCTGGTCTTCATAGCATATCCAAGTATCATGACTCTAGTCCTTATAATATTGTTGTTTGAATTTTTTAACATATTTGACCCCTGTGACTTTGAAAGTAGGTCAAGGTCATTTTAATAATAATAATGATAATAATTTAAGGTTCTAATATACCGCTTTATCACAACCTAGTTCGTAGGTCAACTCAAAGCAGTTCACAAATTGTTATCCGTGGTAATAGGGCCTTTGCAACCAGCCAATATCTTTCTCAACTCTCTGGGGAGCATACAGCCAGTGCTGCCATTTCAGCACTCACAGCTAGCATTCTACAATTCTAGCCCTGCCCAACCACATACTCATTTACAGCTGAGTAGACTGGAACAAGCGGAGTTAAGTATCTTGCTCAAGGATACAACAACAGTTCCGTGACCTGACTCGAACCCGCAACCCTTCGGTCACGAGCCCGGCGTCCTACCACTAGACTACCGTGTCTCCAATTTTAATGAGGAAAATTTATAGCAAGCAGATAAGCAAAACATCCACTATGATTCAATAATATTCACTGTTTTATATGTAAGACTATTATAAAATGTGAATTGAATATGTTGATTGATTAAATTATGGAAATAGTATAGATATTTTTGTGTTTATTTCCAAGAACTACATTTAAAAGTCATGAGACAAAATTCTATGAGCAATTCTATGGGCTGTTCTAGTACTTCTTGAACAAACACAACGAAATTTGAATTAAAAAGTGAATTGTGAACTTAGAAATGAAAATGAAAAAAAAAAAGAGGTAAATATAAGCATTAAACAGCATTCTGTTCCGTGTTATGGCCCTTTTACACGGAACAGGATTGCAGACAAATAATCATTACACGTTATAGCAATGCATTATTCATTTTGTCTGCAATCCTGTTTCGTGGTAACAGAATGCTGTTTAATGCTTTATAATCTAAGTCAAAAGTAAAATGACTTATCATCAATTAAATTAATTAATCGGAACAAACCATTTTTTAATAATTTCCCTTTCCTTTAATTTATTACCGTTTAGAACAAATCAAAACTATATCACATCAAATAATAAATGTAGACCAATCCATTTCACACCAGGCTGAATGCCAAAATTAGGCCAAGTTTGATCCCCACTCAAACCAATATTCCACTATACAGTGAAACCTGTCGAAAGACCACTGACATCCGTTCTAACCTGAACCTCAAGTCTTCTGACATCCAGCTGTCTAATAAGACCACTGACATCCGTTCTAACCTGAACCTCAAACCTTCCGACATCCAGCTGTCTAATAAGACCACTGACATCCGGTCTAACCTGAACCTCAAACCTTCTGACATCCAGCTGTCTACTAAGACCACTGACATCCGTTCTAGCCTGAACCTCAAACCTTCTGACATCCAGCTGTATAATAAGACCACTGACATCCGTTCAAACCTGAACCTCAAACCTTCTGACATACAGCTGTCTAATAAGACCACTGACATCTGTTCTAACCTGAACCTCAAACCTTCCGACATCCAGCTGTCTAATAAGACCACTGACATCTGTTCTAACCTGAACCTCAAACCTTCTGACATCCAGCTGTATAATAAGACCACTGACATCCGTTCTAGCCTGAACCTCAAACCTTCTGACATCCAGCTGTATAATAAGACCACTGACATCCGTTCAAACCTGAACCTCAAACCTTCTGACATCAAGCTCTCTAATAAGACCACTGACATCCGTTCAAACCTGAACCTCAAACCTTCTGACATCCAGCTGTCTACTAAGACCACTGACATCCGTTCTAGCCTGAACCTCAAACCTTCTGACATCCAGCTGTCTACTAAGACCACTGACATCCGTTCTAGCCTGAACCTCAAACCTTCTGACATCCAGCTGTATAATAAGACCACTGACATCCGTTCAAACCTGAACCTCAAACCTTCTGACATCCAGCTGTCTAATAAGACCACTGAGTATTCTGAAATAATGTCTAATCTGTCCCCTGAGGGTTCTGACATTTCATCTCATCTGGTTCCTTCAAGTATTCTGACACCATGATGTCCCTGAGTATTCTAACATCCAGCCTATTCTGACCTCATTGGAATTTGATATCCTGTCTAATTGGAATTGAATATTCTGACATCATGCCTTATTTTACTCCTTCTAATATAATAATATCCTGTCTAAACTGTCCCTTGTGTAGTATGACATCCTGTCTAAACTGTGTATTATGACTTTGTGTCTAAACTGTCCCATGTGTATTATGACTTTGTGTCTAGTATGACCCTTGTGTAGTATGACTTCCTGTCTAATCTGACCCCTGTGCATTCTGACATCCTGTCATATTTGACCCCTGAATATTCTAGAATCCTGTTAGATTTGACCCCTGGGTGTTTCAATATCCTGTTTAATTCTAAATAATGCTATAATCACATTTCTAATGAAAGTTACCGAATATGTTTTCTGTATTACCTACTGCCTGTCAAACCTGACCAACATTTCAATGTTATTGTCAGATTAAACAAGTTTCACTGTATACATTTCACTCTGCTGAAGTGGGTTTTTTTTATCAAAAGACACAATTACTTAAACTCAGACATTAAATCTTTGTCAAACTGGTTAATAATTTGTAACTACCTATTCTATGTAATCAAAAACGTATAGAACTATAACACTGACAGGTCAGTAAGGGCCCCGTCTTGTGGCAATATATCCCCCATAATCATCAAGAAGCAATCTGCCCATATAGCTGAGCTTGACGTTTGACATTTTGACTTCAAAAAGAATCGCAAGGAAGCAAAATATACATTTTACATGTACTATAATGTGAGTCTCGTTTCCTTCCACCTCCACATTTGCTGGGCTAACAGAAATGTAAATACCTGTACAATACTCATTTGTTAGCTTCGATTTGTTTTATTTCACCTTATATACCTCCTCCATCAAGAGCCAGGGTCAAAGTCAGAGATCCACTTTGTCTTTGACCTTTGAACCAAAATGACCTTGACCATTACACCAGTGACCCTGATCTTTGGTCAGTTGACTTATTCTTTAATTCCGACCAACTTTGCTTCTTAATATAACAAAATGTTTATCAGTGAAAAATACAAAAATTGACCTTGACCCTTTGGACCCCGTAACCTGGACCTAAGGTCAGTTGACTCTGTGTTAAGTTCTGAACAACATTGTTTCATAACGTCATAACAAAATGTTCATCAGGGAAAAGGTACAAAATTTAACCTTAACCTTTGACCCAGTGACCTTGACCTTTGGTGAATTGACTCCTTGTTTAATTCTGAGCAACATTGTTTCAAAGTGTCATAGAGAAATG